TCAGAATTTAGTTAACTGTTAAAATTTAAAATTGTCTTAAAATGCAAAACTCATAAAATGTAAATCTTTATTCCGTCTCTAATCATATAACAAATTTTTCTAATGATCTAATTAAGACATATATTTATTCGCACCTGATATTTGCATCAATTCAACAAATATATACATGATACATCATGTATGCATTCACACACTTTAAAGGACAACCTAATTTTTTTTTTACTATATAGTGTCGAAAAAAGACTTAACACGTTGAAAACATAAAGAGAGAAAACTCTATGTAGGAACAAAGAAAATTATGGATGTGAAAAAAAGACTATTTACTTGTCAAATCAGGTGAAAATTTCTACTGAAAATGACATGATTTTGTTATTAACCAGAAAATAACTTTAAATTCACACATAGACCTTTAATGGTCTTCCTAACTAGTCAACATGGAATTAATCAGTAATATGTTGAATCTTGGATTAAAAAGAATGTCCGAGTTGGTTGAACATGAAATATTTTAAATGAGATATATTTAGGTTTGAAATTTCTGTATATTTTTCTCAATTGAGCTTGTTGTATACAAGTGGCTTCCTTTCTTTAATTCACATGCACAAGAGGGTCAAGTTTGAATTGTTGTGAAAGTTACTGAATGAATCTGTTCGATTTAAAAAGAAAAAATCACAAATTTGAACCTATGACATTAGGTTTTGGAGTCCTACAATCTATAGAGATCTAGAATTTTCACTAAGAGGGTCTGAAAAGGTTCGAAAAAAATAAAATATAGTGTATGAGATTTGAACTTGGAACCTCAAGATAAATTTTGAATCCCCTAAACTATTACCCTTGCTAAATTGTTTTTTTTTTAAAATACCTTCTATATACGTACAATACAGTGTTATTTTTTGCCAAGAGGGTTCAAGTAAAGACCCTCTCCCTTGGTCGCATAGAACTGCCTAATGCAATTTACCTCTCGTGTGTGATTTATGGACTATTATACTAAAGTAAAATTTATTCTATGTATACCTAACAAATAGCGATTGATGGTTCTCATAAATGAAAAATCTTTATCTAAGTTAAGGCCAAAATATTGAATAATATTGTTCTTCATCTATCTCTTTAATGTGATGATTTCGACTACTCTTTCGCTCACTTCCACATTTAATTGAATCAAAAGGACTAGGAAAAGTAGTTCAAATTTCTTTTAGGATTAGTCAAAAAGCAACAATATATAGTTTACATACTTTTATAATATAAAGTAGAATTTCTTGTTAGTGATGTAGTAAGTAAATTTCTTACTCTCTCCGTCCGATATCATCATATAAATTAGGACGGAAATAATATGTCTCAAGAAAACTTCGAGTAAATTATCTTTCAATTTTAAAAAAGAAAAGGTAAAACTAACGTCTTTTAAAATTGATACAAAAGGGACTCTAATAAATCATTAGTAGTCAATCCAAAAACCTTGATGAAATTCTTAATGCCTAGAGTGATCAAGCAAAATTCAAAAATCAATTCATTTTTTATTGTGGTGAGACCTCTATATTGATGAATAAAATTACAAAGTAAGTGAATTAGATATAAGCTCGAAGCAATAGGACTTCAATACGGATATCGGAGACCGACTGAAAAAGAAATACTAGTATTCTTCTCATTCTTTTCACATAATGGATAGCAAATCATCATGAGTCATTCGAGAGAAAATATCATAGAAATTACTCTAAATAATAAAATTCAATGGATTTGGTCCTTAATTTTTTGCATTGTGTCCTTCGGGATCGCTCAGTTGGTCATTCATACGAATGACTCGAGATTGACCTCTCTCAAGTCTCAATGCCTTCTAAGTCGATTATATCGCATATATAGGGCTTGTCTAGTGTAGTTTACATCTTTTGTGGTTTGCGGACAATTACACAATAAGGGTTTATCCCGTGTGCATAAAGTGCTCACCACATAGTACTCACCCGAAGGACAGAAGAGTGTGGCAGAAATTGTAGTAGTTGTGAATTATCCGGTTGCGGATTATCTGGGGTTCCAAAAATATTTTTGCATTTTCTCGTCAACTTCTCTTACATTTCCCTTTTTTTATCCCATAATTCTCCAAACTTTGATCTTTTTGCTATCATTTCCTTTTTGCTATAACATAATTCTACAGTTGGTTTCATTTGCAAATTCCAAGTAACTTCTATTTAAAATGACTTTCGATACATTGACTCACTTCGTTGTATTTTTATCTTGCCTTATATATCCGTAATTTATCCCCCAAAATATTTTAGGAACATATTAGTTAATTTAATCGTAAGATACCCTATGTAATATCGAATTTTTCGATGTCGATACGATAATTCAATGTTTACCAAAGTAATGCATAGCGCAATATTGTGATCTTGAATGTGTATAACAGCATATTAAAATGTGAAAAATCGAAGAAGCCATAGGGGTCGTTTGATAGACCGCATTAAAATAAATAGTCCATGTATTATGTATGGTATTATTTAGTACTATGTTTGGTAGGAAATTGGGTCTATGTATAACTAATCCATGGATTAGTTATACCTCCTACATGGTATTATAGGATGTATTACTAATACCTTTCATTTGGAGGTATTAGTAATACATGGATATAATACGATGGGATAAATCTACGTAAAGATAAAAATATCCCTCAAATCATTTTAATTATTTTGTTTATTTTCTTGATTTTATGTTTTATATTTGTACTACTAAATTTATTTAAATAAATTAACTTACAAATTATTTAGAGAGAGTTGTTTGTTACTAAATAAATCCAATACAAATTAATACAATATTTGAAATGTGAGTAGTTTAATATTAACTAATTAAAAAGGCAAATATATCACAACATGACGTTTGTGATCTTAATTGAAGGTATAATTTGTGCGGTTTTCTAATTATTTGTATTTTGAACAATTTATAAAATTGAATACATATTAAAATTACAATTTGCAATTTTTATGTGTAAATATAGACGATTTAATCAATTTTACTATTGTTTACCATCTTTTCAATTTTAAAAGTTGATAGTTTATCTTTTTTAAAATTGAAAATTGACATTTTGTAAGCGATGAATTTACTAAGATGACAATTATTTATCCTCAAATAATTTAAGTGAAAAAAAGGTAAACATGACAACAAAATTGTTCCTTCTCAAAAATAGATAGAAGGTCATAAAAAATAATAGTGTCCGGCAATTATTTACCTTGACCCACTAGCATAATAATTCAAGGGTATAACTGAATTTTTTTTTATATAAAGTTTTAGTCCATGTACAAGATGAGGTGAAAAACAAAACCAAACAGTTGGTAAAAATAATCCCTGCACTATTAATCCCTATATTACTAATCTCAGCATTACTAATCCATGCATTATTAATCCTTGTACCAAACGACCCCATAGTATCTAATAACTTTTTTTAAAAGACAAGGGAGGTAGATGGAAAAGAAAAGGTTCATGTATTATTCTTATGGAAAAGGGCCTAAAATACCCTTCGTCGATATTTCGGTCCTAAAATACCCTTGCCGTCAATGTATTGGCCCTAAAATGCCCTTACTTTTGACGGCCACATTTTAAAATATTATTAAATGTATCATTTATTACGTGACACGATTTTATTGGTGTGTTTACAATTCACCTAAACTAATCAAATTCCGACCCAAATTTGGATCCACCAAATAAACTCATACCCGCCCCACCTAAAAAGAACCCCATTAAACTAAGAATTTTTTTTTTTATTCTGGTGTTCTTCAAGCTTTTTAGAGTAAAATCCTCCCCATAGTGAATTTACTTTTCCTTAATACATACCCAAATTAGTAAGTGAACCTAAATTTAAGTAGAATAAATGATTCTTCAAACGATTTTGACAATGGTAACCTACAAACTTAAGTTCTCAAATTTTGAAATTGAGATGTGAAATTCTTCGACTTCAAAAATGGAGTTCCGTTGATTCGTTCGACATTTTCCTCCATCTTATTCACCAAATCATCAGCCAAATCATAAACCAGATTACTTTACAATTAATTATATTTAGAGATTCAAGAACCTTCAACTTTAAATAAATTTCCAACCTGATTCGGAATCCTTCGAACTCCAAAAAAATATCAGTAGATAAATTTGATTTTGGTAAGTATACTATTTTAAGCTTGAATCTAATTGGTATTTTATTTGAAACTTAAACTCGTCGTAAGTCAGCTGAATATTGAGAAGAAAAAAACCTGGTTTAAATATATTGAACACTATTGAAGCTCAGATAGAGCTCTGATGGCGATTACAAATTTTTGATGTATAATTTGTTACTTATTTTGAAGTCGGTGATTCAGATTATTGTCTTGCCATCATTGTGAAGTTGTATTTTGATTTTGGAGGGCTTTGAAGATGAATTAGAATAGCTTGGAACGAATTTGTAGTTGGATTCACGAAGAAGGTGATAATAATTTGAAGATCAAATCAAATTTTGCATAATGAACAAGATGAAATCAAGGTTTTTTGCACTTAATTTAATGGGTATTTAGGGCAGGTGGGTATGGATTCTTTAGGTGGATCTTGGATTGAGATTTAATTAGTTAAGTTAATTTTAAAACACACTAATAAAATCATGCCACGTAATATATGATACATTTATTAATATTTTAAAATGTGGCCGTAAAAAATAAGGGCATTTCAGAGCCAATAAAGGTCAACAAAAGATATTTTTGTATCAAATCTATTAGTTCAAGGGTATTTTAGGCCCTTTTCCGTTATTCTTAAGGGTCTCTCTAAAATAGCTTGAAAATTTCAATAGCTTAGATGGTTGGCTATGTGTAGACTTAACTTGATGTTGAGTTCAATTGTCCACGAGCGACTAACCAGTTTTGTGCTTGTTTGAAGCACAATATAAAGCACACCACACATCAACAAGTGTTAACAATTTAAGGGAAAATTGATGGGCAAGAACAAAAACTTGCTCATTACGGAAAATCATCATCCAAGGGCGAACAAAAGATGCTAATTATTCGAAAAAGACATCAGTTCTATCTCGAAATTTTGGCATAAAATAGAGTACATAAACAACTGACAAAAGCAGTATTCCCATCATCATCACTTCCCTCAAGAATCAACAATGGCTTTATTCAAAACTGAAGCCACTTCTATTACCACATACACTCCTCATATGTCGAAAAGGCAATTCAGGATATTTGGGTAATTTAAGTAAGGCAGGAGTAAGCCAATGCTTTTTCCTCAGATAGTTCCTCGGCTGTCAAGTCCAACTTCTTTCTTGAGAACTCGTCAATTGGAAGACCTGGGCACACGAACAATAAATAAAATACTCAAGACCATGTTGACAAACAACTCATACAAATTTATATGGGAACTTCCAGAGAAATCATTAGTTAACATCTAAAGTTAAAACTCAGTAAAGGGTTGGCATGGTTTTTTTCTAATGAAAATCCGTCAGGCAAATAGACGTCTAATTTAGAAATATTTTCCCCAAATGCTCTCTTCCACATATGCTACGACAATCTTTGAGGCTAAAGATGGCTAATACAAGGAATGTGGATCCCATAATCCGACAGCATGATTTACGACTCAGATTAATCCATTTAATTTGACCAAATATGTTTAAAAAGACAACAGCCTGAGACCAATAATAAGATGAGACTAAAATGGAACAGTGTAAACAATTGATTAAAATCAAGGACAGTATCTGAATGCTAATAAAATATATTTTCTAACCTTGAACAATGGACCATTCTCCATTTTTGCATGTAACTGGGAAGGAATAAATAAGCCCAGCTGGGACATTGTATGACCCATCAGAGTAAACACCCATAGAAACAAAAGTGCCCTGCAACATTTGGTTTGAAAAAAATTGAGATAAGAACTACTTTATAGACAGCAACGTGCATAATAATAACTTTCTTATATATTAATACAAAAAGGACCCAAGTTAAGAGATCTACCTCTGGAGTTCCAAGGACCCAGTCACGAATGTGATCACAAGCAGAACTAGCAGCGGAAAGGGCACTAGAAAGCTTTCTAGCCTTGATAATGGCAGCACCCCTCTGCTGTACAGTAGAAATGAACTCACTGTTCAACCTAAATACAGAGAATATAATTTATCAGTTAATCAGCAAAATTGAAGAAAAAAAATAGGTAATCAATTTCCAACAAGTCTGATTCGTTTTACCATGCATCATCAGCCACAAGTTCACGGACTGGCTTATCACCAGCTGGTGTTGCAACTGTTGCATGGTTGACATCAGGATACTGTGATGATGAGTGGTTTCCCCAAATGATGACATTTTTAACATCACTAACTTGGACACTCAGTCTCTCTGAGATTTGGCCGAGGGCCCTGTTATGGTCCAACCTTGTGAGACAGGTAATATTCTTTTCGGGAATGGATGGTGCAAATTCTTTCAAGATCAATGCATTTGTATTGGCAGGGTTAGCAACAACCAACACCTGGAAGAGGCACAAGGCAAAACTTTAATACCACATATAAAATGAAGGCACAGCATGTTTCATTGAAATCCTGAAAATGGTTCAATGATTCTTCCATTGACACAAACAGAAGGCAATAAATAACAAAGACATTAGAGAGTTTGTGGCAGAAAGGACATATTAAAGTAACACACGAGACATTAAAAGTTGGCAATAGACATCTCATAAATATTCTCACCGACTTAGGTGATCTATTCATCAGTCAAGTAATCAATTACCTCCACAGTCAAAATAGAAGAATAATCTAATCAAAGGCTGGAAGTATATCATGCAGTGCTGGACACTAGGTGCAATTTACCAGACGCAAAAGCTAAAAATTTAAAAGGACTAACAAAGATCTATATACTTTTGCCTGACCTTGCAGTTGGGAGCTGCATGCTTCTCAAGTGCAGAAGCCTGGGACTTGTAAATAGAAACATTCTTTGACATCACATCTTTCCTTTCCATGCCTTCTTTCCTGGGGAAACCTCCAACCATGACCGCAACATTGACACCAGTGCATGCCTCAACAGCATCAGTTGTAGCAACAACACCTAACACATACATGGAAGAACACACCATTTAAACCAATTTAATTTACAAAAAGTGATAAAATGCCATAACGTAAAGATTATAAGCAACTGCACCAACCCTTAAGAAGAGGGAAGGCAGCATCCACTAATTCCATCTTCACTCCATTCAGTGCCTCAGCAGCAGGTGGAATATCCAACATGTGGAGAATTACAGGCTGATCTGCGCCCAACATCACTCCCCTGGCAATCATAGGCACCAAGGCATATCCAATTTGTCCTGAAAACAAATCAACATTACCCTGTTAACATAACATTCCAACCAATTCATAATTTTGAAACCAATAAAATATTAATCTCACAATTACATTTTCCAACTGCAGAAAAGAAATTGTAAAACCTCGAAACAGATTCCAAACACACTAACAAGCGAATCTTCATAATTATCTAGCTTAACACATGAGAAGTTTATCCAAACCACGAATCCACAAATCTAAATCATGACATCACAGTCGTTAATACTACATGTTCGTTGTCAAAAAAAAAAGGCATCAACTCAATCATGCTAATAACAACTAAATCTCAATCCTAAAGTAGTTAAACTTCTTTTTCAAATCAAAAAATCAAATTAAAAGTATATCTCATAGTAAATCAAAGCAAACAACAACAGAAAAGAACAGTCATCATTTTAATTGGTTGGAGTTACAAATCAGAGCAACAAAGATCTGAATCTCAACCTTGCAAGCTAATACAATTAATACTAACTGGTAAAACAACAAGTACATCAAGCAAACATGCTTGGACAACCTCAAGCAGATGAATCAACTACCCCAAACAAAGTAATACGCTCTTAATAGTTGGAGCTTATACTACTTTTCAGTTATCTAAATACTCAAACAACATTTTATAAGGAAATCAGGACTCTAAAAAGTATCAATTAAGTTATTAAGGATCGGCAACTAAATCAAAAAAACTAACAGTAAACAAGTAGATCTAAGGCTAAATCCGATAAGCAAGACTTCTAAAAATCAATCAAAGTAAGTCAAAATGAAGTAAAACAACAGATCTAAGTCATCCTGAACCAAAAAAACTGAAAAAAATACCAAAAAATCACAAAAATTAAGCTATTTGAAGTTCATAGAACAGATCGATTACCTGCAGCACCAGTAACGAGAACGCGAACTGGATCTTTGGCCATTTTTGTTGAAGATCTAGAAGTTAACTAGAGCGATGAAAACTATGATCGAAGAAGTGAAAATGAGAGTGAGATGGGCAACGAGAAGACTGCGGCGATATTTATTGGCTCAAAACTAGTGGTGAGTACGACGTCGTTGAGACTATTGGATTCGTCAGCATTTGTTTTTAGGAAGGAAATGACAATATTAGTCACTTATCTTTTAGGGGTACATTCAAAATTCAAATAGTACATGATTTTGCTATATTTGACAAAACTTTTCATTTTAGTTCGTCGAAAAAGATTCATACATTTTCTTTTTATCAACATTTGTTCATGTTGAATTTCACATATTTAACAAAAAATGTACTTTTTTAAAGTTAATTTTGAAATCTCGTGAAGTCTTTCATATTTCTTAAATTTCATATTCAGATAAAGTATATCACATAAATTCAGATGAAGGGAGTACTACTTATATTTGATTAAAATACCATTTTGAATGTTTTTTCTTTTCTTTTGATAATAAGAAACTTATTCATCCAAATTAAAAGCCTGCAAGCTATTGCATGAGAGCAGAGGATTTACCGCGCACTCAAAGAGTAGCGGCTATGGACTATCAAATATAAAGGATATTTTTGGAATGATAATTATTGTGAAGATAGCCTCGGGTTGTGAGATTTTTGTAGTAGAGTGTGACGCGCAATATACGGCATTATTTGAAATTGTGGTGTAGGAAGAAAGTAACTGTCATTTTTTCTAACAACAAAAGGGCTGGTCCATGCTTGAGGCCTACGTGTTATCAAACAAGTCAAAATGTTTTTTTTTTTAGTGACTTTTCAAGAACGAAAGAGAGGGTGTCTCATGTTGGCCTTTAGAATATAGTTAAAAAAATAAATATATTAAGAGAAATAAATGTAATATTATAAATTTATGAGAAATATCAATGTAACGAGACCAAATTGTCATGGCATAATACACATAGGACGCCACGTAGGATACAAAATTGTCATGTAGGATGTCATGTAGGACACATGTGTCTACTTGTTTAATTTTATACAAGTTTAAGTGTCTATTTGTGCACGCTCAAAGTTGGAGGTCATAGTTGCCAACTGACACCAAGTTAAGGGTCATGTTTATGTATTATGCCTAAATTTATTTATGAGAAATGTCAATGTAACGAGACCAAACCTGAAAAGAGGTCTCTAAGTGCATCAATTATTTACTTATTTTAACAACAATTCTGAGCAATAACACAAGCTAATAAAGTTTGAAATTGATATCCGATCAGAATATTGAATTCATTATAAAATATCATATCGGCCCTATAGTCGTTTGAAAGAATATAGTTTATAAATTTCATCAATTCTTTAATTTGTTAAGTCATGTTTTAAACTCAAACTAATTAATTGCTCAAACTCAAATCTTGAGCCGAAAGTTGAATTGTTTTTGTAGCTATATGAAAGAGAAATAAAATGGTCCTATTGAAGGTTTGGAACAGAACATAACTAAAGTAATCAAAAAGTGAAGGATAACAATAATTTTGTGTTGGATTGTTACGTCCTTGTCTATTTTTAATCAAAGGTTTTAGATTCGACTAGTAAATATGAATTCTTTTTTGCTGCCCAACTAAATACTTTTGCATATATTCTCCAATGAACTGGAAAAATGTAATTATTGCACCTGATGGTAGTCTTAGTCAAGAAGTATCCAACAACAACAACATATTCAAATTCCAGTGTAATCTCTTAAGTCAAGTCAGAGTCTTGTTCTGACATTGCTAACCCTGCAACTTTCTTATTCGAAGTCAATATCTGAGTTAGATATCCACAAATTTCTTCAGGCAGATAAACGATCACAACTACCCGAAGAACTAGAGGCCATATATGGTTGCATCCAAAGCAGAGCTAGAGGATCTAGCCAAGTCTTGTTCTGGCTCGGAGCTTGACAAGAACAAATTTGAATCTCGTATCCTAAATTTTTTCGTTTTTGTTTATTGGTGTATTAAGAAGTATCTAGATGACCATTCCACATCAGAATGTATAAAGACTCCCCTAAACTTAGCGCGTTTTATTCAAGTCTCTCTTAAAACTTATACATGATCCTAATTATACCAATTAGTACCAGCTATAGGTTAAGGGTATCTGATATTTCCCCTGCAATTATGCCAATTAGCACCAACTATAATTTCAAGTAAGTCTATCAAAAACTTGGAAATTAAATGATCTAAAAGCTCTGGTCTGAAAGAAAACCAGTACAAGTTTTATCATATTCATTTATTCATAACAACCAATAAAAATAATCAATGTTTACTACAATACAATTCTTGAAATTAAAAATATAACATAAAAAAACAATACCACACCACCTAAATTTCTTATCCACACTTTAATTACTCTATCACACCAAATCAAAGAGAAAATCAATTAACAAGCAAGATTTGCTCAGTGAATGAACACCTTCATCATCAGATTTCAAGTCATGCTGAAGAATAAGTGAGAACACTATTGATCCTCCAGATATAGTGTGACGTAAAACAAAAGAAGAGAAAATCAATTCAATTTCTTTTTTCCCCCTTAAAAATTAGGAAGTAAGGAATTGAACAAAAAATCAAAACTTATACTTCAATTTTTGAAATATTCCAATAATAATTTTGACCAAAAATATTATATTTAAACACCTCTAGCCAACATTTCTTGAAAATCAAGAATTGATTTTTGTCTTTCAAGCTCCATATCTTCACGAACCTTAGATATAAATTCTTCAGCTCTTTTATCCACTCCATTTATATGTGGCATTGAAGGAGTTCTCCATTCATCAATAATATTAATATTATCACTTGTTCTATAATTATTAATACAACTACTCTCAATAATTGCCTTACCTTTTTTCAATGCAATATTTACCTCAATACCCTTCATAATAACCTCTTTCTCTTCTTGATCCAATTTGTTTCTACAATTAACATTACCACCACTACTCGAAGCAACAAATTGTTCAGTCTGAGGTGCGGATATCTTAACGTTATGGTTTTGACATGCTGGTTGTTTCAGTATAGGTTCGGGGAAAAGTTGGTCCACGTATATAGGTGAAGTATTTTTATGACATTGTTGGTATTGGTAGTAATTATGGTAAAATTTACGATGAGTACGTGGTGGTGATGAAGAACGATGGATCAACGAGTAGAATTTTCGAGTAATAATAGGGGAAATGTAGTTGTAAGCTCTAATACAAAGGTTTTTGGAACTTTTGTAAGCTTTTGAAAGGTTGAGTTTGTGTAATCTTGATTGTAATTTGTTGGTGAAGCTTTTCCATGTTTTTTTAGTTGGTAGAATAAGCTTTTTTCCTAAGTTGAAATTTGACATTCAATTTAAGATTTTGAGTGGAAATTAAATGGTTTGAGAAGAAGATGGATTGATTTTTGAGAGGAAGAGAAGTTGAAGATTTGGATTTTATTTTGGAGTGATTGTGTGTGTGTACACAAATGTATGACATAAAATGTTAGGCTGGATGGTTCCTTGAACCTTTTGGTCATGTCTCATTCTTTTCTTCACATGATTTCTTTTGTCATCTTTTTGGTGTTTTTTCTAAGAAAGGAATCAAACACTATAGACTGGAAACCTAAATATTGGGTGTGTTTTGGTAGGACGAAATTTTTGAAAAATATTTTCTCTGGAAAAAATAAGTTCCTTAAAAATGACGAATATGTCTGTCTGACAAGAGGGAGTTGCTCGGATGGTAAGCACCCCTCACTTCCAACCCGAAGGTTGCGAGTTCTATAAATGTTTATTGTATCATCGCCCCCTAACCCCTACCCTTGCCACCCTCGGGGGACCTTATAGTAATTTGTTAGATTACATATAAAAAATTTATGATAAAGTTTTTTTTACTTATTTATCGAATATACTAGAAAATAATATCAAAATAATTTGTTTTCAAGAACTTATTTTTTGTGAAAAATATTTTCCATTGTACCAAAACACACCATGTAGAGAAAGCAAAAGATGTACTTTTTTAAAAAAAAGAAGTATGTTTAGGTATATCTAACTTTCGATTTTGTCTTTGAAGTTCATGGCTGGAGAAATCTTTAGTCTTAAGTTTGTGCTTTAATTTATTTAGAAAATTTAAAAGATATTAATAAAAAAGAAAGAAAAAGTGTAAATTGATTAGGAGCTGGTTGTAGTGGATTTCTTTGGTGGCAGGGTCAATGAGTTGGGTACTTTTTGCCCCCAACAAAATGCCTCTTTCACTAAGGTGCACATTGAAGCTGGTGGTATATATTAAAGATATCGTGTTTGAGTTTTGAGTATTAAAAAAATCGAGATGATTGATATTTTGTTATGTGTCCACATCTTAGTAATTAAATTTGTGTACAAGATGCATGTGACAATTAGTTTAATTCGTACTTGTAAAGATGAGAATAGTACAATGTGCAAGTCTGGTCTAGTGTGGCCCTAGCTCATTATGAGTTGCTCATCTAAACTCTCTTTATTTTCTTGGCTCTTTTTCCATGAAGGTTTTGAGATATGTGATCACATGCTTTCTCTAGATCTAATGTCTTTATATCTGCTCCGTTCTTCTTTGATGAAATAAATATATATATTATAGAAGAGGTTAGAAAGGAGGAACTTCGCTAAAGATCAATGGTCTATGTATGCGCAAACAGTTTTAGTCGATACTATTTAATCAAGGGCCTCGTTAAGTAAGGTGAGAGCCAATACAAAGCTAACAAACTAGCTTTCATAAACGTGTTCTTTTCATCCTTTCTGTCTATGACCTATGTTAATTGGTCTTATTCGAATGAATTGCATTTCATTTTTCCTTGTTAAGAGACAACATGCTTCATAATTATTGTCCATCAATTATATAAGAAGTCTTTTATGTGTCTATAGATCAAACACTAATAATATACCTTACTTCCCCATGAAGAATTTGCATTATTACCTAACTTGGCCATCAATTCAAATGGTCCCCAATTTTCTTTGTTCTTAAGACACTATAATATATGAAATTAGCTACGAAAGTAATTTCAAACAAATGCGTCGTTAAAATGCTCCCAGCTAA